GAGATATCACTTCTAATATCATAGTGGTTATACACCCTGTGATAATATTCATAATATCTAAGGGAGATATTACTTCTAATTTCACAGTGGATGTATACCCTATGATATTATTCATTTCAGGGAGCTATTACTCCTAATGTCACAGTGGGTTCATAATATCTAAGAAAGATCTTAATGCTACCATCACAGTGGCTGTACACCCTGTGATATTATTCCTAATATCTAAGGGAGATATTACTCCTAATATCACAGTGAATGTACACCCTGTGACACTATTCGTAATATCTAAGGGAAATACTACCTTCATATCACAGTGGGGGTACACCCTTTGACATTATTCGTAATATCTTAGGGAGATATTACTCCTAATATCACAGTGGGTGTACATCCTGTGGTATTGTTCGTAATATCTAAGGGAGATATTACACAGTTAGAGAGGAAATATTAGCTGCAGGCTTTACTGACATGGGCTACAGCTTCAGGTTAAAAAAGAAGGAAAAAAAAAAAGTCATGGCCGGGCACAGTGGCTCACACCTGTAATCCTAGCATCTTGGTAGGCCAAGGAGCGAGAATAGCTTAATATCAGGAGTTCGAGACCAGCCTGGGCAACATAGTGAGACCCTGTCTCTACAAAAAAAAAAATTTTTTTAATTAGCCGGGCGTGGTTCTGTGGGCCTGTCGTTCCAGCTACTTGGGAGGCTGAGGTGAGAGGATCACCTGAGCCCACAAGGTCGAGGCTGCAGTGAGTGATGATCATGCCATTGCACTCCAGCCTGAGTAACAGAGTGAGACTCTGTCTCAAAAAGAAAAAAGAGAAAGAGGTGGATAAAGGGAACGAAGAAAGGGAGGGAAGGAGGGAGGGAGGGAGGGAGGAAAGGAAGGAAGGAAAGGGAGGGAGGGGGAAAAAAGTCACTAGTCTTGCACCACAACGCTTCTAAGTGTAAGGCTAATCTTGTCCATCTGATCTGAGAGCATGGTCAGAAGGACAAATAAACTCTAAAGTTTTGTCTAAGCCACAAAGATCAGCCGGCTAGATCAGCTCCTCCCCCTTGCTCTTCCGAGGCCCCTGCCCTGGGGACGGACAAATGGAGTCCGGGGACCTCTCCGTGGGCTGGATCCAATCTCCGACGCTGCTGCAGCGCCAAGATCTCCACACATTCACAACATGATGCAAGAGACAGGCAGTCACTTCAGTAAAGGGAGAGAGAGGGCAGGTACAAGGGCAATGGTAGGCGGAGCTTTCCCCAGAAGGGTGCCCAACCGAGAAGGCGTTAGAAGCTGCGTTCTTTCTCCAGGAGGGGATGGGAGAAAGCGAAGACCCCTGATCATGACTGCAGGAACGCAGCCAGGCCCTTAGAAACCGGCGGCGGGCCCCGCCCCTGCGACCAGGAGCCCTGCAAGCTGGGCCCCGCTGTCAACCGCGTTTCCAGCCGCTACGGTGCTGACCCCGCTTCTGTTCGCACGGGGGCGCGCAGCTCGCCCACTCACCCTAGAGGGCGCAAGGAAACCGCGGGGTTAGCTGCGCGCACTTCGGAGTCTATTCTGGGCGGCTCGGAGGCCTCATCTCGATAGCGGGCCCTCCAAGAACCGCCCTGGTCCAGAGCAGGATAGGATGGGGGTTCCCCAAGGGAGGACTGCAGGAAGATGGAACGGGATTTCTTCACCTGCCCTTCATCGCCTAAGTGGGCCTACACTCTAACTGGCTGTCCCTTCCGTGTCATCGCCACGGTCCCCATGTGCACCCCGTTTGTCCTCCCCTCTTCCTGCCCTATGTCGCCTCCCCTCAACTTCACCTCCTTTCGTGACCGCTGGCCGGGTTGACCCTGCGGGGCCTGCGCTCTTCACCCTCAGGCCAGCCTATTCTTGTCTCCCTGTGTGCACCCCAATGCCTCCCAGTTTGGCCTGGAGTATGTATTAGGTTGGTGCAAAAGTAACTGTGGTTTTGCAATTTTTTACAAATGGCAAAAACCGCGATTACTTTTGCACCACCTATAAATAGGCAGGGGGAACGGACAAGAAAAAGCCTTAGAGAAGGCGCCAAGAGCCAATCACCTAGCCCGCCAGGAGTATTGGTTTGCCAGAGGCATGAGATATATTGAAGCAGAAAAGGAAGAAAAAAGATTAAGGAGACAAATTGTTCATGATAAGGGGTTTCCTGATAAACTCAGAAACAGCAACTACCAGTTATGAAGCATTTAAACTGACACTCATTAATCCTCACAACGGTCCTGTGCAGGTGGTGTTTTTTTTTTTTACCATCTTACATTCTGGAGCTGCAGTTGGTATGCAACAAAGGCAGCATTTGAACCCTGGCCTGCTCATACCAGAGCGGGGGCATCTAACTGCACCCACAAAGGACAATGGAGGAAGACTGTGTCATTATAACATGAGCAAATGGGGAAAAGACAAAAACAAATGCTTTTATTATGCCCAGGTTGTAAATTTATAAACACGAATGAAATACACATACAAGAGGATGAGGCAGGAAATCACTTAAACCTGGGAGGCAGCGGTTGCACTGAGCCAAGATCGCATCACTGCACTCCACCCTGGGCGAGAGAGCAAGATTCTGTCTCTAAAAAAAAAAAAAAAAAAAAAAAAAAAAAAAAAAAAAAAAAAAAAGTGGTTCCATATGATACAAATGTTAGAAAAAGAACAGATGTTAGTTTGCTGACTCCGGCAAGGAGTTACCTTTTGGGTGGTAGTTCTCACCACAGCCCAGGATGCCAATGTATTCTCTAGTCACATGTTAAGATCTCCAAATCCAGGGCATCCCTCCTCAAACAATGCCAGTCCTACACTGCTAAATGTTTACTGAATGAATGGATGAATGAAGGCAACATTTTTAGATGTGGGAATCCCACAGTGCTTGGTTCTCTAGATTAATCTCTAGGGGCCTCCTTTGAACTTGGTTCTTCAACCTCCTCAGTTGCCCACATACTACATCCTAGGGTGAGGCATTTCTCCAGACTTCACTTATTACCTTGAAAGTGCCATACTCTCACATGTAGGCCTTGACATGCCAGCTCTTTTGCTAAAACTCTTCCTGCTCCTCTCCCCATGTTCCCCACCTGTCATCTACTTCTATCCACCCTTTTACTCAGGCCAAAAACCTAGGAATTTTCCCATTACCACTTTGCTCCACTGCTATAACCAGAGGTGACAGTGACTCATAGCAAGGATACATGTCCACCAGCAAGTTCTGGTTATCAGAAAAATTTAAGAGTAAATTTGGTCACCGTGTAATGGAAATGCAAATCTAGTGATGGCAGCAGCGGTATCTTGACAGGAGATATGAATTTGGGAGCTCTGACCTGTGACCTGTCATTGTCAAAACTGTCCAAACCTGTTTCAGAGCACAGGTTTGACTAGCTCCCTAAAAAAACCTCAGGATATTCTCTCCTAGTATCCCAGAGAGCTCTGGGAGCACTTGAGATCAGTTGCAAACTAATGACAATGAGTCATCAGCAATGTACTAGGGAATGAAGAGCTATCAAACTTCTCTGGGTTTTGAGATCTGTGTAATACCAACATCACTTTGGGGTATATTGTTGTTTTGTGTGTTTTCTTAAGACAAAGTCTTTCTGTCACCCAGGCTGGAGTGCAGTGGCACAATCTCGGCTCATTGCAACCTCTGCCTCCCAGGCTCAAGCTATTGTTGTGCCTCAGCCTCCCAGGTAGCTGGAATTTTAGGCGCACACCACCACGCTTGGCTAATTTTTCTATTTTAAATATAGACCGGGTTTTGCCATGTTGGCCAGGCTGGTCTCAAACTCCTGACCTTAAGTGATCTGCCCGCCTCAGCCTCCCAAAGGGTTGGGATTACAGGCGTGAGCCACTGCACCAGGGCTGGGGTATGTTTACTAAAACATTCATCTGTAAAATGAAGCTAGCTGCTTTGCAGAATTGAGAATAAAGTTTAGATATGTACAAACATACGTGTGTGTAGGTAGGTGGAAAGACAGAAGATAAAGGTGCTCTCTACTATTCTTTTCTCTTCTCTCCCCTTTCAAGACCAAAATGACTCAGAACACAAACTCATGTATCAGGCCCCTTAAATAGCTGCTTAAAGGATTGCCCTGAAGGACTATTTTGATTCCGCATTTTTTAAAGTTTTATTTTATTTTATTTTAGAGACAGAGTTTTGCTCGTTGCCTAGGCTGGAGTGCAATGGCGTGGTCTTGGTTCATCCCAACCTCCACCTCCCAGGTTCAAGGGATTCTCCTGCCTCAGCCTCCCGAGTAGCTGGGATTACAGGCATGTGCCACCACGCCTGGCTAATTTTTTGTATTTTTAGTAGAGACGGGGTTTCTTCATGTTGGTCAGGCTGGTCTCAAACTCCCGACCTCAGGAGATCCGCCCACCTTGGCCTCCCAAAGTGCTGGGATTACAAGCATGAGCCACCACGCCCAGGAAAGTTTTACTTATTTAAAAAATATGGCTGGGCACGGCGGCTCACACCTGTAATCCCAGCACTTTGGGGCACCAAGGCAGGCAGATCACCTGAGGTCAGGAGTTTGAGACCAGGCTGGCCAACATAGTAAAACCCTGTCTCTACTAAAAATACAAAAATCAGCCAGGCAAGGTGGCAGGTGCCTGTAATCCCAGCTACTTGGGAGGCTGACACAAGACAATCACTTGAACCCGAGGCGGAGGTTGCAGTGAGCCAAGATTGCGCCACTGCACTCCAGCCTGGGCAACAGAATGAGACTCTGTCTCAAAAAAAAAAAAAAAAAAAAATTCCTAGTTCTACTGAAACCTCAAACTATTTAGTCTTATTTTATATACCAACAACTTTCCAATCAAATCTGCTTTAAGTTCCAAACATTCAGCTTTTGTTCCAGAGGTCTGTGGAAAAGCAAGCTTTGCATCAATGCAAAGGAAAATGATCCACTCTTGCTGTGAAGCAAGTTTCAGGAAGGAAAGGAGTTGCAGCCAGAGGTGATTCCAACATTCCCAAATGCTTCTGGCTGAGACCTTCAGATTTTGTTTGAAACAAATTCTCAGAATACCAAACACACCTTTATTCAAGTGGAAGTACAAAAGCACATTCCTAAACCAAATGCATACATGTGATTTTTACATATTCTGCTTTTTAGGGATTACATAATCCTGTTTCAGTCACCACAGGTGACTACTGGTCTCTATACATAAGGGTATACATGTTTGATAGGAAAAAACACATGCATTTTTCATTTGCTTTTACATTTAGATCAATTCATTTATATATCAATTTCATTTAGATTCCTACCTTGCCTTGATGAGATCCTATTCTTGCTGATGGCAAAGAAGTAAAATATAGTGGCAGAACTATCCTAGAGGTTAGCCATAGGAAGATTACAGAGTGAGCAATATATTTTTATATATTTGTTGAGGGTCCCTACTGAATATTATTAACACTGAACTATGAAAGCCTCAATTGCTGGACTGACAACAAGAATTTTAAACATCTGTCTCACTCACAAAATGTTATAAAGCTTAAGACAGAAAAATACAAAATGTTTTGACATTACCTAAAGAATCATGAACTCTTGTTCGGTGTATGATGGTGGCCCTGAACTTGAGCCAACATCTGTAATCACTTTTATCAATCAAAAAGCCATGTTCTTTTATATAGCCTGTAGACTATTAAAATACAAAAATGTGGCAATGGATAAACAACTATACACAAAGCCCTCACACTTCAAATACTGTCCTGGATTGATGAGGGGGGAAGCAGAATTCAATATTTATCTGCAATCCTAATGGTTAAAATTTTACCAGGAACAGACCTGCCACTCTTGAAATACTGTCTCTGAGATTAACATAAGAACAGCATCATCTCTGTTGGAAGGCTACATTCCCATATGATGCTGATTTGTGTGTGTTTTTATTTAATTAATTTATTTATTTATTTGAGACAGAGTCCTGCTCTGTCGCCCAGGCTGGAGTGCAGTGGCGCGACCTCAGCTCACTGTAACCTCCACCTCCCAGGTTCAGGCGGTTCTCCTGCCTCAGCCTCCTGAGTAGCTGGGATTACAGGCACACGCCACCACGCCCGGCTAATTTTTGTATTTTTAGTACAGACGGGGTTTCACCAAGTTGGCCAGGATGGTCTGGATCGCCTGACCTCGTGATCCACCTGCCTCAGCCTCCCAAAGTGCTGGGATTACAGGTGTGAGCCACCGCGCCCAGCCTGTGTATCTTCTTTGTTTACCCTACCAAAAGCAGACCTGAGCATTTTGCTGGCCTGAGAGGTATATAAAAGAACTCTAAGCTTAGGCATGCAGAATAGGCACTGGATGAATGTAGTGAGGCTACCAGGAGTCTTGGTGGCTCCCTGATGTCCTTATCATCTCTCTTCTTCGCAGACTGTGGATGCACATAAGACAGCTAAAACCTTGGGCATCATTTGAAAATGTCTGGCTGCCTGCTACAATCTCAGGAGAGAGAATCCTTCATACTTACATTGGACTGGATGTATTTTCAATCCAATTATTTTTCTAAAAAAGATGCTTCGCTTTAGGAAATAAGACACCAGACCAGCAACATCAAGTAGGTATGGAATACTTGCTGGTGAAACGCTTAAAATTAGGAAACTTCTAAATCTTCTAAAGGTGCTTAAGAGAATGGAGAAGTTAATCAACAGGAATCCAAGTGTTGTGGCTGTAAAGCAATATGACATAGGATCCCTAGTAAAGAGCAGGCCTAAGAGTTGGTTTTGGAGAGAACTTAGGCCAAGAACAGCAGAAAAAGCTAAATGAGCTACTTATGTCGATGTATTTTAACACTGGTGCATTAGCAGTATCTTACGGAAGTTGTGAACACTAAGAACCAATTTCAAAAAAAAAATAAAAATGTTTATAGGGCATATTAAAATAAAAACAGCTTAAATGAGTTCTATGAATAAAATAGGCCCGGCACAGTGACTCACGCCTGTAACCCCAGCACTTTGGGAGGACAGGTGGGAGGATTGCTCGAGGCCAGGAATTTGAGACCAGCCTGGGCAACAAAGCAAGACCCCATCTCTGTTCTTTTTAATATCAAAATTATAATAAAAAAGTAAAAATAAATGTACCTACTTAGAATACATATTAAATAAAGGAACTCCATGAGAAAATGGCACTGCATTTACCAAGTCAACCCTAAATTTTTGTGTAATGAAAAAGATTGGGACTACATATTAACAATTTCATAAACAAATAATCAACAATTTTCTCTCCATTATTTTGATGTTGGGTAAAGCCTGAAATGTGGTGTCAAGCTTTTCCATTTGCATTACATCAAATTCTTGTCTACTACGGATATTCTGATATGACAAAGACTAAACTCCTATTGAAAGATTTGCCATTTACTACACTCAAATAAGTTATCTTAGGTATAAATTCTTTGATGTTGAATGAGTGTTGGGTTATGACTGAATCTCCTCACACACATACATGTTTATTACATTTATAATCTTTTTGCATGGCATGAATTTGATACTAAACAAGGTAGTTTCTTTGACTGATGGCTTTTTCACATTCACTGCAGCAATGGAATTTTATTCCCGTGTGAATTATCCGAATGTGACTAAGATATGAAAATATTAACAGCATGAAAAATTTACCACATTCAATACATTTATAAGATTTCTCACTGGTATCGATTTCCGGAGTCAATTAGAAGTTTAACACTAATACCTTTTCTTCATTCGTCACATTCAGAGGGTTTCCCTCTGGTGTGAATTATCTGATGCTGAGCAATGGTTGAGCTATGACTGAAGGTTTTACCACATGCAGTACATACATGATTTCTCTCTGGTGTGAACGCTCAGATGCTGAATGAAGCCTGAATTTGACTAAATGTCTTCCCATCTTCATTACATTCATGAGTTCTCTTTGGTATGAATGCTCTGATGTTGAACCAGGTGTGCTCTCTGACTGGAGTTCTTTTCCCATACATCACAATCAAAGGCTTTCTGTCTGGTGAGGACTTCTTGTTGCAGGATAAGATCTGAGCTATGACTGTAACTACCCTCATACTCATTACATTCATATGATTTCTCTTTCCTATGCATTTTGTGATGCTGAATAAGGCATGAGGTTTGACTGAAAGCTTTTCCACATTCATTACATTCATGCGCTTTCTCTCCTGTGTGAATTCTTTGATGCTGAATAAGATGTGAATTCAATCTGAAGTCTTTTCCACATTCATTACACGTATAGGGCTTTTCTCTGAAATGAATTCCTTGTTGTTTAATATAGGTCAACCCATATTCATCATACTCATAGGCTTTCTCTTCATGATGGACCCTCTGATGTTCAAGTAGGTATGAAGTATGGCAGAAGTCACTGCCACATATAGTACACTTACAGGGCATCTCTTTGTGAATTTTCTGATGTTGAGTAAGGTGGACACTACGACTGAAGACTCTTTCACAACTGCTACATTTGTAAGATTTGGCTCTGGTGTGAATTTTCTTGTGCTGAATAATGCCTGAGCTTGGACTACAGGATTTATCAGACGCTTCACAGGATTTATCAGATGCTTCACATTTGTAAGGTTTTTCTCTAGTGTGTATTCTTTTATGTCGACTAAGACTTGAGCTCTGACTGAAAGACTTCTCACATTCTTTACATTTGTAGGGCTTCTCTCTAGTATGGATTCTCTGATGTCTAGTAAGGGCTGAACTCTGATGGAAAATTTTCCCACATACATCACATTTATAGGATTTCTCAGTGTTAGGGATGCTCTCCCATTTATTAAGGTGGGAGAGATCCATTAAGCTTTCCTTACATTCACTACTCTGAAAATCCTGTGTTAGATTTATGTGTTCATGTTTACCAGAGGCTGAATTCTGGCTGAAGCTCATGTCGTACTTATCACTGTCATCGGTCTTCTGTATTCTAAGAACTCTCTGATCCGCATCAATAGGAGAGTCCAGACTGAAGCTTTTCTCGGGTTCATTACATTCATTGTTCTTCTCACTGGTGAAGGTTTCCTTGCTGATTGTTATTTGCCTAAACTCTCTCTCCAGGTACAGAAATTTCCTTAGAATTTCCTGAAGCCTTTCTAATCTGTCCTCAGACTTATACACTTCTCTAGTCTCAGGAACTTGGGTAATACCGTGTTTGAGTCTTCCTACTCTCACTTTGTACGAATGTACTTCTTCCGAAATTTTCTGCTTAGGAATCGACAGCTTGTTTTCTTCTCTGGTCTCTCCATCTGATACAATATATAAATAGAAAATGCAAACGTAATCTGTACCCTGTGCTTAGGAAAAGAAAACTCAGATGAGAAAACTAAACAATGTAGTATCTACAAGGACAAGAAAAGTTTATTTCCTCTGAAAAACAGGCACAAAATCTCAACAGCAGAAGTAAGGGCATAAACAGGAGCAGTGAGGTAAAACAGCGGACATGTTCAGCAGAGTAAGGAGATAACAGGGAAACAGTTGAAAGAATTTTAGATAAGCAACTTCATTAGGGGTCTAGTACGACATATGCACAGGTACTAAACAAATGGGAAAGGTCAGCCTAACTGAAGGGAAAAGGAAGGAACTCTCCATGCTAGCACACACACAGAGCTCTTCATTCTGAGTGCCAAAGCAGCTACAACTTGGCTGAACAACTGAACTTTACTTCCCTACTAATTGATTGATTCTGCCTTACTCACCTGAGCAGTCACCTCTTAAGACTTCTCTAGTCTTAGTTTCCAGATCAAAGACCTGTAGATCCTGTTCCAGCTGGGAGATCCCATCAGGCTTGGAAATTGGAAATCCTGCTCATAGAGAAGGAAATGGAATGTGGCAATGTGTCCCCAGGTCCTACACCAGTCACTTTTTCTTTTAACTAATGATTAAGAGAGAGAGGTCAATTCTGAGAAGGCATTAATTAGGAAGGCCTGGAGAGTGAAGAGGGCAAAGATCTTCTACAAGGAGCTCAGATTTGTGCTCTAGAGAGATGTGTGTTAAGGGGCAAGGTGATGACTTGGGAGCAGAAGGATTCATTTAAATATTATTCAGACAACAGAATGTGTGCATGGGTTTGTCTTCACAGAAGTTATCATTATCACTCTCCATCTGTTACCTAAAGATTAATCTTCAGATTAGATCTGGTCTACAAGTATCAAAACGGAGGTCATCAAAATATAATTCTGCTGGACTGGAGAAAGGTGAAACTCAAGCACCTGCTGCACGGTTAGCTAACCTGTAGCAACAGAATCAGTGAAAATGAAATAAATATTCTAAGGACCAATCTCAAGAAACAATTTGTTTCAGTGCACATAAGAAAAAAAAGAGTAATATGACACATTCTTACCCATTAGGAGTGTAGTATTTATTCGATAAACATTTATGAAGTGCCTCCTCTATGCAAAGCATGCAGGGGAGAAAGAGGCCAAGAAGGTCCCTTCCCTTGAGGACCTCACACTCTACACAGAAACAGCTCTAAACAACTAAGTACAATAAAATATACAGAGTAAAGTGCAATCAGTGCATCTTCACATAAAACAGTCCTTCTATGGCTTGCATAATGCAATGATTGGATATAAATCTCTTTTAAGGCTAAAGCAACACACAGTCAGCTTCCAAAGAGACAGAATTTTAATACTCTTACTATCAAAGGGCAGTTTTTATATTTGTCCATCCCAGAAAGCTTCTAATAGCACACATACAAGGTCTGGCTCAAGCCCCTCATCTCCAAAAACCTTTCTCTTCATTTACTGAATGTGTACCAAATTTGTTAGTTGTTCCTCTTATCCTGACATGTCACATATAATGGTGTTTACATAGATTTTTTTTAAGTGGTTTCAGGCATTATCACTCATACTTGATTTATAAACTCTTTGATAGAAGGGACTAGGTATCTTGTATCTTGTACTTCTTTTCATTAATTTACTTAACAGCTACTTATTGAGTGCCAACTCTGTGCGCCCAAGCATCAGTGTATTAAAAGCCACCCAATTTTATAAAAAGGGCACTGGGGCTGGAAAATATGAAGAGCTGACAGCTGCCCCGAAAATTCCACGTGAGAGCCTATGAGCAAGGAGATCAGAATAGACAGAAGAAAAGTATTTACTGTGTTTCTGAAATCCTGCTGGACATTTAGAGTCAGTTCTCCTTGTGGATATTTATTTAATTAAGGTCTGCTATGTCAAATGAAATCGTTTCGGAAGTTTAAAAAGTAAAGTTAGTGTAACATGAAGCAGCAATCAATATTATTCTCAGAATTCCAATAACATAATTTGCAACTTTTAACTGAGATATTTAAGGTGTCTGTCGATATTTAGTAACTGAAAGAAATTCTGGCTGTTTATTCCATATCTACACTTAAAACACATACGCACAACCAAAAAGGTGGTCTTGATATAGGATGAGGGGTTTGATTTTAGACATCTGTTTAATGTAATGTAGGAAGGTGTAAGAGAAAATGCCCAGCAGATGAGTATGCAAACGCATACAGAGTGATAAAATGGACTTCAGAGAGTAAGAAGGGAAAGGGTGGGAGAAGGGACAAGGGATAAAAAACTACATATTAGGCACAATGTACACTATTCCAGTGACAGGTGCACTAAAATCTCAAAATTCACCACTATGTGATATAATTCATCCATGTAACAAAAAACCACTTGTACCCCCAACACTACTGAAATAACTTTTTAAAAAAAAAAAAAAAAGAAAACGCTGAGCAGGCACAGATACAATATCACAGTTTAGAAGAGGGAACAGGGTGGGCCGGGCGCGGTGGCTCAAGCCTGTAATCCCAGCACTTTGGGAGGCCGAGACGGGTGGATCACAAGGTCAGGAGATCGAGACCATCCTGGCTAACACAGTGAAACCCCGTCTCTACTAAAAAATACAAAAAACTAGCCGGGCGAGCTGGCGGGCGCCTGTGGTCCCAGCTACTCGGGAGGCTGAGGCAGGAGAATGGCGTGAACCCGGGAGGCGGAGCTTGCAGTGAGCTGAGATCAGGCCACTGCACTCCAGCCTGGGCGACAGAGCGAGACTCCGTCTCAAAAAAAAAAAAAAAAAGAAGAGGGAACAGGGTATCATCAGTATCATCAAAATATTATTAAGTTTTACCAAGTATTTGGTAGGTGCCAAGTACCATGCCAAGAGCTCTCTAGGTTTTCGCTCATTTAATACCATAAATTTAAAAGGTAGAAACTATTATTATAGCCATTTTACAGATGGGAATACTAAGATTCACAGAGGTTAAGTAGCTTGCCCAAGGTTACAATAACTGGCAATGCTTAGTTTTCAAACCTGTAGAGTCTTATTTCAAAACCTAGCCTTTAAACAATCTGCTAGTTAAAAAAAAAATATATATATATATATACACACACATATATATATATGATTTTGCCTCCTAACAAGCCCTGAAAAAAAATAAATAATGATTGTGGACAAAATTCATCCCTTCCTCCAAATTACACACAGAAAGAACATGTAAGTTTTCTTGCCACTAGCCTAAATGCCTGTTTCCTAAATTTAACTCAAAACTTTGCTTTCAAAAATATGTACTTGCTTTACATTTTTCCTGTTTAAAATTAATGTATTAAAACCTTTTGATTTTATTTAAATCTTGAGTTTTCTAATATGATTTATAAAATATTGACAGTGAAGTAAAAGGTAATAATACAAACAACAGAGAAAAAGTGATTAGAATAATACACGGTGAGCCAGGAGCCTAAATAATTGGGAGTTGTAGAAGTGTTACTTAAAAGGGATCTATGGCTGGGCACAGAAGCTCACATCTGTAATTCCAGCACTTTGGGAGGCCAAGACGGACAGATCGCTTCAGCCCAAGAGTCAGAGACCAGCCTGGGCAACATAGTGAGATCCCATCTCTACAAAAAATACAAAAATTAGCCAGGCATGGTGGCACATGCCTGTAGTCCCAGCTACTTGGGAGGCAGAGGCATAATGATCCCTTGAGCTCAGAAGGTCCAGGCTGCAGTGAGCTGAGATCACACCATTGTACTCCAGCCTGGGTGAGAGTGAGATCCTGTCAGTCAGTCAGTCAATCAACCAATAAACCAATCAATGGGATCTATGTACCAGGCATGGTGGCTCACACATATAATCCCAGCACTTTGACAAGCCAAGGCAGGAGGATCTCATGAGCTCAGAAATTTGAGACCTGACTGGGGAACATAGACTCTGTTGCTACAAAAAATTAAAATTAAAAATTAAAAGTGATCTAAAAGATGATTTATTTTCAAGGAAATGCAAATCCCTTTACAATAAAAATGCAAACCCCGGCCAGGCGCAGTGACTCACGCCTGTAATCCTAGCACTTTGGGAGGCCAAGGCGGGCAGATCACAAGGTCAGGAGATCAAGACCATACTGGCTAACACAGTGAAACCCCGTCTCTACTAAAAATACCAAAAGTTAGCCAGGCATGGTGGCGGGTGCCTGTAGTCCCAGCTACTCGGGAAGCTGAGGCAGGAGAATCGCTTGAACCCAGGAGGCAGAGGTTGCAGTGAGCTGAGATCGCGCCACTGCACTCTAGCCTGGGCGACAAAGTGAGACTCCATTTCAAAAAAACAAAACAAAAAAAAAATGCAAACCCCTAAGCAATAATCCAAACAAAAATCAATTTGAGGAAACTCCACTATAAATAAATAATTGGAACACATTCCTAAAATTTTTATTTGTATTTAAAAATCTGGTCTATAGCTCGTATCACTTGCTGTTCTTTCCAAAATATTAAAGTTACTAGCACAAGCCAGGTACTTAATTTTTTTTTTTTTTTGGTGGGGGGGGTATGGAGTTACCCAGGCTGGAGTACAATGACACAATCTTGGCTCGCTGCAACCTCCACCTCCCGGGTTCAAGTGATTCTCCAGCCTCAGCCTTCTGGGTAGCTGGAATCACAGGCACATACCACCACGCCTGGCTAATTTTTGTATTTTTAGTAGAGACAGGGTTTCACCAAGTTGGTCAGGCTGGTCTCAAACTCCTGACCTTGTGATCCGCCCATCTCACCCTCCCAAAGTGCTGGGATTACAAGCGTGAGCCACCACACCCAGTACAAGCCAGGTACTTATATGCATAATCAAATTCAATGCTGTACAACCCAGAAGGTAGACGTTGTTTTTCATGTTTTATAAATGAAGAAAATGAGTGTCAGATTAAATAATTTGCTCAACATACTGGAACCCAAGTTTGATCCCACAGTTTATATTCTTTCCAACCTACCATACTGCCTATCAAAGAAAGCATTAGTAGCAGGTTCTCTTGACACTGATGTGAATGCCTTTTTTTTTTTTTTTTGAGACAGAGTCTCACTCTGTCGCCCAGGCTGGAGTACTCTGGAGGCACAATCTCAGCTCACTGCAACCTCCACCTCTTGGGTTCAAGTGATTCTTCTGCCTCAGCCTCCAGAGTAGCTGAGATTACTGGCATGTGCCACTATGCCCAGCTAATTTTATTTTTAGTAGAGACGGGGTTTCTCCATGTTGGTCAGGCTGATCTCAAACTCTCAACCTCAGATGATCTGCCCGCCTAGGCCTCCCAAAGTGCTGGGATTACAGGTGGCTCATGCCACCACGCCCGGCCGACTCTATGCTTTCAAAATATGCACTTGTTTTACATTTTTCCCATTTAAAATTAACGTATTAAAACCTTTTGATTTTAAGGCTGGATGTGGATCACATGAGGCCAAGAGTTCAAGACCAGCCTGACCAACATGGCAAAATCCCATCTCTACTAAAAATACAAAAATTAGCTGGGTATGGTGGTGCATGCCTGTAGTCCCAGCTACTCTGGAGGCTGAGGTACAAGAATAGCTTTGGGCCTGGGAGGTGGAGGTTGCAGTGAGCTGACATTGTGCCACCACACTCCAGCCTGAGTAACAGAGCAAGCCTCTTGTCTAAAAAAAAAAAAAAAAAAAGATTTTATTTAAATCTTGAGAGTTTCCTAATAAAATTTATTTTAATCTGGTCTTCAAAAATAACAGTTAAAGCCGAGCGTGGTGTTGGCTCACATGTGTAATCCCAGGACTTTGGGGAGCTGAGGCAGGCAGATCACTTGAGTCCAGAAGTTCAACAGCCTGGGTAACAGCTAAATACCTTCTTTACTAAAAATAGAAAAAAATTACACTGTGGTACAGGCCTATATGCCCCACTACATAGAAGGCTGAGGTAGGAGGATCACCTGAGCCTGGGGGGAAGTCCAGGCTGCAGTGAGCTGTTATTTTGCCACTGTATTCCAGCCTGGGAGACAAGAGGAGACCCTGTCTCAAAAATAGTAATAATAATATTTAAAATCTGCCATATTATATGGTTTGCTGCTTTTACTACAGCTATGCTTTTAGCCATCTGAAAGTTTCACGCTTTTCTTCCTGGTCCTTAATACACAAATAATCTCTCTCCATAGCAATATCATTCTTTTGTAGATACCTGCTGGACTGGAATATGTCCCTAGAGAGTTTTACTTTTTGAGTGCATGTCCTTCTGGTCCCAAACTATAAACTGGCCTGTCTGTCCAATTTGTTATGGCATTTTGAATTTTTCTTGTCATCAGAGTACACACAACTCACCAAAAATATTAAAAACTTCACGTGTAGTTGAACTTATAGTCCTAAAGGCACAAAGTAGTGAGAAAGTGCAGGGGCTTCAGAGGTAGATCTGGTCCCAATCCTCTCACTGATCCTGCAAAGATCACTTAACTTCTCTGAGCCTCAGTTTCCTCAGATATAAAATGGAGCAGTATCATCTGCTCACAGGGTTATAGTAAGGATTAAATGAGATATATATATCTCATTTATATATATATATATATATCCCATTTATATATATATACACACACACATATAAATGTCCTATGTCTGTGTGTGTGTGTGTGTGTGTGTGTGTGTATACATACACACATATCTATAGCACCCAGTAACATACTGGCTGTTCAATAAATATTAAATAGCTGTGACAATGGAAAACATTCTGTGCAAAATCACTGTAATCCTTCATGACATCAAGTTAAAAAAGCAGAGAGTATGTGCCAAACATTCCCAATCTATTGACCCAGTTAGTATCAACTAGAATTTTAACAAGCATGTTTCTGAGGCCAGCATCTAATAGGGCACCTGCCACACTGACCATGTGAAAAGCAACCCGGTCCCCTTTCCCAGTCTTAATCTCCCACACTAAGTAACAGGTAACTTCCCTATGGATAGTGACCCACAAGCAAATTGTTCATTCATCATCAATGGAGTATGTTCCTTTTTAAATTATGTGGTAATGAAAACTACTTATTACCGACTTCTTTACTCAGCTATTTGTACTCTGTATATTTACTGCTACATAGTGGAAGCACTTAAGCAAAGGACCAACGTCCTGATGTCTGTGACAAATACAATCTGGAGGCCGGGCGCAGTGCCTAACACCTGTAATTCCAGCACTTTGGGAGGCCGAGGCAGGCAGATCACCAGGTCAGGAGATCGAGACCATCCTGGCTAAGATGATGAACTCCGTCTTTACTAAAAATACAACAAAAAATTAGCTGGGCATGGTGGTGGGCGCCAGTAGTCCCAGCCACTCGGGAGGCTGAGGCAGGAGAATGGTGTGAACCCGGGAGGCGGAGCTTGCAGTGAGCCGAGATCACACCACTGCATTCCAGCCTGGGCGACACAGTGAGACTCCATCTCAAAAACAAAACAAAACAAAATACAATCTGGAGCTCTTGCCATGAGAAAACGATGTAAACTGGAAAGCAGGACTGAATCATAAAGTCTTGGCTGGGTGCGGTGGCTCACGACTGTAATCCCAGCACTGTGGGAGGCTGACACGGGCAGATCACGAGGTCAGGAGATTGAGACCATCCTGGCTAACATGGTGAAACCCCGTCTCTATTAAAAGTACAAAAAAATTAGTCGGGCGTGGTGGCGAGTGCCTGTAGTCCCAGCTACTTGGGAGGCTGAGGCAGGAGAATGGCATGAACCCAGGAGGCGGAGCTTGCAGTGAGGCGAGATGGTGCCACTGCACTCCAGCATGGGCAACAGAGCGAGACTCCGTCTCAAAAAAAAAAAAAAAAAAGTCTTACAACCCCAAAAAGTTAAATTAATAAATGTATAAACTTAACCCAGTTGTGCCAGAGGTTGCACATTTTTTTTGTTAAACATCAGACCTTGGCGATGACCTTGAGCAGCAAGATATAAATCATTCCCGCAAGCTTAGTGTTCCAATAATGGAACTCTAGGCATAAATGAGTTAAATTTCAGATGAAGTTTGCTGAATCCACTAATATGAAAATGACTTCCCAATGATTGTAAAAATAACTGCTAAGGAGATGCTGCTAACTTGATCACAAAAGCAAGATGAGTAGAAGGGTCTCTTACATCATGTGTATGTCTCTTGTACGTGTAAGTGTGCATGCATGTGGAGTGTGCATGCAGAGATAAGAGAGGAAATGGGATAAAGTTCAATCTATAGCATACTATGCTATTAGACTGCATTAAACTGCTACAAAGTTTCTTTACTTCAAAAAGTAGACAGGTTAACTGTTGGAAACTCTGTAATTATTAGACAAAATTAACAGTACTTTACAATTATATGTATGTCACTTTACAGTTTACAAAGTTATTAAGTAGATATTCATTTTGATGTGCTGAAATAAATTTAACTTCTTTGCCCTCCCTTCTCCCCTCCATCAAGGACAGAGTAAGGAACACTTAATCAGGAAAGGCAATATAAACACATCAATCTGTACAGAACCACAAAGAATAAAGGGGAAGAAGGTAGGACCTTGAAGAGGGCCACAGGGACTTCAAGGAAGGAAGAAACCAGAATGTTAAACATGAGGAAAGCCCAGGGTTCACAGGAGAGTTAGGCACCATACGGGGCAGGTTGTGTTTGCCACATAAAAGGAGCGGCACACAGCGTAAGTTTCACATTCTAAAATAATACGAAAAGACCGTAACTGAAGAGCTGAAGTTGGAATTTCTGGTTTCTCACAACACAAGTAGATGATGACCACAAACCATGGTTTCTGAATGAACTGAGTTCAAAATGCATCTGGTTGCAACAGAGGGCTTCCTTGGACCCTAACATTAGAAATTAAACAGAGGTAATTTGAGGAGCTGCGATTTTACACAGTGGTGGCATCCTGGGGAGCTTCTATTCCATCAGTCAAGTTTAATATCTCACAATCGTGGAAAAGGAGTTTCCGAGCAGGGACGAGCAATATCGATGGGAAGCCGATACTTGGGCCATCTCTTGGAGATTCCTGCTGTAAGGATGGCAAGTGTTTCTCCAGAGAAAGCACTTGCCTGGGTATGACTCAGGGCCGGGCAGGAATTCACACTATGAATCCGGGTGGTGGGAAGGCGGAGAAGTATGCCTACAAAGATTAAAGAGCCGGGAATGGAAAACACACTAAAAACCGTCCCAGTGGGCAGGCTGCCTCCCCACAGATAAGAAGACCTTGAATTCTGAGCATAATCAGCGGGAGACAAAGCAATGCCCTGGATACCAGCAGCATAGACAAAGCCAACGGGAAAAAAAAGAAAATAAAACGCGTGATTCAGTATTTACACACACAAAAAGAAGAGTGCAGAAGCAAGCAAGAAACTAAAGAAAAAGGAGGCCGGCTGCAGTGGCTCATGCCTGTAATTCCAGCACTTTGGGAGGCTGAGGAGGGTGGATCACTTGAGGTCAAGAGTTCGAGATCAGCCTGACCAGCACAGTGAAACTCCGTCTCCTCTAAAAATACAAAATTAGCCGGGCGTGGTGGCCCACGCCTGTAATCCCAGCTACTTGGGAGGCTGAGGCAGGAGAATTGCTTGAACCCGGGAGGCAGAGGTTGCAGTGAGCTGAGATTGCACCATTGCACTCCAGCCTGGGCAACAAGAGTGAAACTCTGTCTAAACATAAAATTAAATTAAAAATATAATATAAAAAATAAACTAAAGAGAAAGGAACAATGCTCACACCAAGGGAGCTGCCGACAAACCCTACTGATGCTTCCCGGCAGCACTACAGCTTGCCTAGTCCCAGCTTCCTACTATACCTTTCAAAATGACAATGGAGAGATATGAGTTAAGCATTGACCCCACCTCAGCGTGGGGTAAACGTCTGAGATTTCTGCTGCCCTGGGTGCGGTTACGTTGGATTACCATTCTGGGTGACTCACTGAAATGTACTCACAGTGAGTCATGCCTTCAAATGACATCTCAAGTTCTGCCTGCTTGGAGATACATCTGGGGATCTTAAGGGGTGAGGGACTACTCAGCAAGAAGGAATTTAGCCTGTCTTTTTAAACGGCATTTCTTTTTCCTGGAAAAATGGGAAATTCTCCAACTCTCCAATACAGGGACACTGAGATACCAAAGAGGAAAAGTGTCCGGTTGGAGGTTGGGAGGCCACCCTGGGGTCTCTCCTACAAAAATGGAAGAGAGAAGAGTGAGAAATCAAGCAAAGCACAAGAAAGTTTCCCTTTGCTAAAAGGGAACAGATGCCCCACAATGGCCAGAAATATGAACTGGGGATGAGGAGAATATCTCCTCTTGGCACCCCCAAACAAACCTTAATTATCCCTCCCAGAGAAGATGACATGAAAGATAAGGATTCAGAGGTTCTAAGACCTGGAATCTAAGCCACACTCTACAGACCTTCTCAGAGACCTTATACTTATGAAGAAACAAGAAAGTAAAGAAATTCAAATAGATAAACCAAATAATAAGGAAGTCCTTACCCAGTGAGACCACGTTCCCATAATTCTCTAACATCACTTCTCTGTAGAGGTCCCTCTGAACAGGGTCCAGGTATCCCCATTCCTCTCGAGTAAGGTGCACAGCCACATCCTCGAATGTCACAAACTCCTGAAATAACACATCCTGGCTGCTCTGAGGAATGAGAACACTATAGTACCACGGCCAGAGAATGAAGATCATAGCGAGGGAATGAGAACACTGTAGCATCATGGCCAGAGAATGAAGATCACAGAGAGGGTATCCGGTATGTACTTACGTTGAGGAGGAGGGAGAACAGATTAGAACCTATGGAATAAAGCCCATAACCCTTAAACATCTAATAAGCACCCGTCACACAACCATGAACAAAGAAAAAACAGAGTTTGCTCATGGTACTGGGGAGATGGGAAGTTGGTTTATGTGAAGTCCAGGTCTCTGAAGAGGATCAATTCCCAAACTGGATTCTGCTATTGAAAAAAATTCCAGGCAAGGTCTACAGATGGGATGAGTGAGAGGCCACACTCCATCAGTAGCAATAGTCCCTGAGGAAATGCAGAGGGTTCCTCAGCTCACCTGGTACCTGGCTGTCAAGAGCGCAGCTGCCTGGTCTCCTGGGCTTCCCTCACAGGGAAGAGCAGGCACCTGGGGAACAGGTGGAGCTGAGGGAGGAGAAAGGAGTGAAGGGTGAGAGCAGCCCTAACCCAGGACTCCCTTTCAGAGGAGGCCTCTCCAGCCCAGGGGGTGTCAGCAGGACCCTCCTCAATACTCTAGTAAAACCAATGAACATTTTTTAGGTATTGGGTTGTGTCTACTCTGCTTTGTCTCAGTACTTGCATGTCTTATGCAAGTTTAGACCTGTGATACAGGATTTTCTTAGGAAAGCTTGTATTTCACTTTATTTTCATCACATGACAGTCCTCTTACAGAGGAGTAAGACTATACTTGTTTTGCAGATGGGCAAAGCAAAGCATAAAGACTTGTGGGGACTTGTCCTGGGCTAGGGTTATTTAGCAGACTTCTGACCCTTTCCAGGCACTGTTCTAGACACTTGATAAGCCTTTCTCTTGTGAATGGGCACTGTCTCAACCAGTGTGTAAGGCCCCCAAGAACAAGAAATGGTCATCTGTTTCCTCGAAATCTTTTCTACAGTCCCACAATCCCCCACAGCACTCTACACATTGTGCCACTTGATCTGTGTGGGTGACACACAAGTTATTTCAGGCACTAGGGTTAACCACAGGCAATCTAAGACACAGCTCTTACAAAACAAAGGAAGAAAAAGACCAATCTACCTATACGATACAGAAAAGTGTGACTGCATAGTCAAAATACAGTATATATACATTCATACAGGCATTGTGTCCAACCAAGGAATTAAATGGTTGCTTCCTCGACCAAATTTAGTCTAGTCACAAAAAACTGCAGTTACAACAGAATGGATGGCAGGTGACAAAGCAAAGCAAAACTAAGTGAAGGGAACCAGGGAAGGAAAGGTCCTGAATCTAAGAGGAAGTGAGAGCCAGGAAAGGACTGTGAGATGTGGCAAAAGCAGCATATTTTAGAAATTATTCCGGATGTGAGAACTGGGATGAAGTGAAGGTTGCCTGAAGGAAAAACAACCACAGCGAGTAAGTAGCCATCACTCTGCTTATTTAAGAAAGATGAGCTGTCCTTAATAAAAGGGCTCAGACTAGGACTGAACTGAGTCACACCTGCCCCTGCTTTCATTCCTCCCTCTAGGGACCACATTCTTATTCCAGTTCTTGACCTCTCTCACACCAGTCCCAGGAGCCCCCTCGGGAGCCCCTCCACACTCCCACTCTCCCGGATAGAAGTGCTATCTCTGCCTTACCCCCAGCGAGTCCCTGTTCCATGTCGGTGTCCTGCACAAACTGAGGCTCTGGGGACAGACACTCAGACTGGGTCTCCAAAGACTGAAACTGGACCCTTGGTGACCCTGCTGCTTCCTGGGCTGGTATTTCCTCCATCACTGCTCTGGAGGACAATGACCATCACTGCAAGGTGAGATTAAGATAAATTACTGTAATAAGTTAAAACATTTCATCATTTTATATCATCAGGACTTTGCAAAATATCTTACACACTGAGGATATTCAATAAAAATTAGTTGATAATGATTAACCACCCTAAATAAGTTACAGAGGCCTGGCGCGGTGGCTCACGCCTGTAATCCCAGCACTTTGGGAGGCCGAGACGGGCAGATCACGAGGTCAGGAGATCGAGACCATCCTGGCTAACACAGTGAAACCCCGTCTCTACTAAAAAATACAAAAAACTAGCCGGGCGTGGTGGCGGGCACCTGTAGTCCCAGCTACTCAGAAGGCTGAGGCAGGAGTATGGCGTAAACCCGGGAGGCGGAGCTTGCAGTGAGCTGAGATCTGGCCACTGCACTCCAGCCTGGGTGACAGAGCGAGACTCCATCTCAAAAAAAAAAAAAAAAAAAAAAAAAGTTACAGAAAAATGGGGCCAGGTGCAGTGGCCTGTAATCCCAGCACTTTGGGAGGCTGAGGCGGGACAATCACTTGAGGTCAAGAGTTTGAGACCAGCCTGATCAACATGGTGCAACTTCATCTCTACTAAAAACACAAAAATGAGCCAGCATGCTGGTACTGGTCTGTAATCCCAGCTATTTGGGAGGCTGAGGCAGGAGAATTGCTTGAATCCAGAAGGCATACGTTGCAGTGAGCCAAGATCTCACCACTGCACTCCAACCTGGGTAACAGAGTGAGACTCCGTCTCAAAGAAAAAAAGAGAAAGAAAGAAAAAGAAATATGGATATGCTTCAGCTTTAAATACTTAAAAACCAAATCATATGATCCAAGTATGGAGGAGTCTCTAATTTGGAATTCGCAGCATTAAAAAAAATCAACACAGTACAATTCAATAGCGTAAAACTTTCTGTAGAAAGTTTAAAATATTTAAAATTGGCCACGTGGGGTGGCTCGAGCCTGTAATCCCAACACTTTGGGAGGCCCAGACGGGTGGATCCCTTAAGCTCAGGAGTTCCAGACCGTCCTGGACAACACGGTGAAACCCCATCTCTACAAAAAATAAAAATAAATAGCCAAGCGTGGTGGGCCAGGCCTGTAGTTCCAGCTACTGCAAAGGCCAAGGAAGGAGAATCGCTTGAGCTTGGGAGGTAGAGGCTGCAGTGAGCTATGACTGCGCCACTACACTCCAGCCTGTATGACAGCCCGTCTCAAATCAAATATTTAAAATTTACAATTTTCTTTGGAGGCTCAAGTTGGTGCCCAGAGAAAAACGCTGGTTATGATTACTCATTTTAATTTTGTTTTAGTAGAGATGGGAGTTTCCCTATGTTGCCCAGGTTGGACTTGAACTCCTGGCCTCAAGCAATCCTCCCACCTCGGCCTCCCAAACTGCGGGGATTACAGGCGTGAACCACCGTGACAGGCCCGCGTTTACGTAAATAAACTCATTTAAATAAATAAATAAACAGCAGCCCCCTTAGGAATGTCTTGGTAACACCGTCAGCCCACTCTGATTTACTAAACGGGCTTGGCAAATAAAACTCCACTTCTGGGGCAGGCCCTTCGCTAACCCAGACCAGCTAGGCTGGCCTTTTCCCGCAATCCTGAGAGCAACGCAGGGAAAAGCCGCGGTTCGAACAGGTTTGAGCGGCGTCCTTCAGGCCCAAGGACGCATGAGGGTGCCGTCCCCCTCCCACCACCCTCGCCCTGGGCCCTCGCCGGGCTCCCAGCTCGGTCCTCAGAAGGCCTTGCCCGGCGCTGCCCTCCTCCCACTTCCCTTTTAGGCCAAGGCAAAGTCCCAAAAGAACCAGGGGGGCCATACCGACCAGCTCGCACCAGGGCACGGTCGCCGGCTCCTGACCGCGGGGCCCTAGGTCCGCGAGGTGAAGGAACCAGGGCTGAAGAAAAACAGACCCTCCTCGCACCCGGGCCTCCGCGCACTCTCGGGGAAGCAAACCACTGTCGGCCGCGAACAGACGCCGCCTCCTTCTACGCCCGTGAAGGCGAAACAAGCGGCTACCCCACTGCGACCCCAGAACGGCTTCCGGGTACTCACCGAGGGGAGGGGCGGGCCTGGCAGCTGTCCTGTCACCTACACACCCGCGCTCCGGGCCACCACAGCTTCTCCCGGGCCGCTCTAGACACCCCGGAGGCCAGCGCTTCTCGGTAGCACTTCCGGCGACGGAGTGCAGGGCCCAGAATGAGGGCCCCCTCACCCCGCCGCGGCATGAGGGTCCCGGATGTGGGTAAAAGCCCAGGATGAGGGTCCCGGATGTGAGTGAGGGCCCCGGATGTGAGTGAGGGCCCCGGATGTGAGTGAGGGCCCCGGATGAGGAACTCGGATGAGGAGGTGGGCCCGCGCGTGCAGGCTTCAAAGGCTCGTTTTCGCAGCTTTTCCACGTCTTTTTTTTTGGGTCCTACCGCCCTCCATCCTAACTCACTGGGCTTCTCTAGCCGTTATACCAGCAATGACTGCGACCAATGTTGGGAAAGCGCTCCCGGGGCCTCTCCCTGACGCTAGCCCACCCTTGAGACTCGGAGGCGGCCCGACCCTGTGGGTGCGTGTCGTGGGGTGAGGAGGAATGGCCGACCTAATGGTCCCGCTTCCGTGAGTAGCACAGGGGTGCCTGCTCAGAGTGTGGTACTACGCTGACTCGTAGAAGGCGAGGATTGCGGGGCCTGGGTGAGATGGGACCCACTAAGTCGTGGGATCGAAATCTCAGTAGGTCCTTGGGGAAAGCGGGGACGGGAGGGGAGATGAGCAGATTGGAATGGAACCGAGAGAGACTGAGGAGACTGATAGTTGCGCCCCTGGTGGGAAGACTAAAATCTGTGCAGAAACAGGGATAGGCAAAAGCATGGTGCACGGGCAGGACAGGTAGAGCGCCGGGACAGAAACTCTTAGGACATTGTGACCCCTTGCTGATCCTGGATCCTTAAAGAATATGTTTTGTGGATGGAGCTAATCTGCGAGGCATAGGCAAGCGTCTTAGAAAATCCAAAAAGTGATTTGGAAGGAACTTCAGCTATTACTACTTTGTTTAAGCAAATCAAATGCTATTCTTTAATGTTACTTGACATTTCAAATTAAATACAAGAAAACCTGAAGTGTGGCATTTTATATATTTTTTCAAATTGTATCAGCTTCTTGGAGATTCTGATATTCCTTTGCCCTCTTTCCCCCTAAGTATCGACCTAACCTAAATTCATACTATGACACAGTCTCTCTAATCTGCAGTACTCGTCACAGTGGAGTCAGGATCAGAGAAGGAAAATACACGGCTTAGTCCATTTCATGCTGGAGGGCTCCAATTAGAAACTTTTCCTTGTGTTGAATAGAAATACACCCCCAGTGATGTCTAGCTATTGTTCCTATTGACAGGTCCCGAGGACAATAGATGACACACTTCCTCCTCTTCATAACGGCTATTTTAATGTGCTAGGAGAGCTAAAGGTTTGGAGTTATTTCCTGAGTTGCCATTTCCCCACCTCAGAACCCTTCACAGGTTGTACCTATTAGCAAAGTGATGGGAAACCATTTCAGCAGCAGAGGTGAGTGAGCTATGACAGTGAGGCACACTGCGTCCAAGTTTTAGCTGACTGGGGCTGTTGGCTCCAGTGAGAGGACCACAAAAGGCACCCACTTAAAGAGGCCACTTCCCACCAATACTCATCGAAACATAACAAAGAGTCCTAAGAAACAGAAGCTACTATTTTGCTTTTGAGCAAAATTTTCTTTTAACAGTTTGCCAGATGACACCGGTGGCAACAACTCAGAAAGTTGTTATCTTTTTTCTTGTTTTGTTGTTGTTGAGACAGAGTCTTGCTTTGTCGCCCAGGCTGGAGTGCAGTGGCGTGATCTCAGCTCACTGCAACCTCTAGCTCCCGGGTTCAAGCGATTTCCCTGCCTCAGCCTCCAGAGTAGCTGGGATTACAGGCGGGTGCCACCACACCCGGCTAATTTTTGTATTTTTAGTACAGATGGGGTTTCACCAGGCTGGTCTCAAACTCCTGACCTCAGGTGATCTGCCCACCTTGGCCTCCCAAAGTGCTGGGATTACAGGTGTGAGCCACCGCACCTAGCCTATTTTGTTTTTTTAGTGCAAATTAACAAACTGTTTCTGGCCGGGCGCGGTGGCTCAAGCCTGTAATCCCAGCACTTTGGGAGGCCGAGACGGGCGGATCACGAGGTCAGGAGATCAAGACCATACTGGCGAACACGGTGAAACCCCGTCTCTACTAAAAAATACAAAAAAACTAGCTGGGCGAGGTGGCGGGCGCCTGTAGTCCCAGCTACTCGGGAGGCTGAGGCAGGAGAATGGGTAAACCCGGGAGGCGGAGCTTGCAGTGAGCCGAGATCCGGCCACTGCACTCCAGCCTGGGCGACAGAGCCAGACTCCATCTCAAAAAAAAAAAAAAAAAAAAAAAAAACCTGATTCTAAAGTTTATAGAGAAGTGCTAAGGATTTAGAATTGCCAAAACAATTTTGAAAAAGAATAAAATTGGAATGCTTGTATACTTTTAAGATTTTTTCCTAAAGCTACAATAATCAAGACGATATGGTATCAGCATAAAGATAGACAAATAGATCAATAGAGCAGAACAGAAAGTCCAAAAATATCAGGGTGCATTTCTTAAAGAAGAAAAAAGTCCAGAAATAGGCCTAGATACATACAATAGCTGTTTTATAAATTACTAAGGTAATTCTGCATCTAGCTAAGCTGAGAATTAGGCCGAGGATCTGTTTATAACAGTGACAGTGATGCAAAGGAGACCAATTGTGCATACTCGGCAGGTCCCCTGAGTCAAAGTCGTGGCTCATACAGGGAGAGGGTGGGATCCTGAGACCTGTTCTCTGTCACAGTGTAGTCTGCAGGAACTTTACTCAACCATCATGATGGTCCACATATTGATGACAAATGCTAATAGTACCCAGTGGGCAGCAAGTGACAAGGGTCATAGATATCCTAGTAAAACTTCTTACTAAGGCAGTACAGAAACCTGAAGATATGGGCACTTACCAAATGGATGAAGTTTTGGTGGGGTCCAGTGGTTTGGGGACATCACCCAAAGGTAAAATTTGTTCCACTTTGCACCCTCTAATCCCAAAGAAATTGGTACAGGTCCTGGTGGGACCCTTTGGATTTGGGAGGTAGCGTATTCTGCACCTGAGAAAACTGTTCCAACACATGTATTAGGTGACCTAAAAGGCTTCTACTTTTTATTTATTTATTTATTTATTTATTTTTCTTGACACAGAGGCTTGCTCTGTAGCCCAGGCTGGAGTACAGTGCTGTGATCTCGGCTCACTGCAACCTCCGCTTTCTGGATTCAAGCAATTCTCCTGCCTCAGCTTCCCTAGTAGCTGGGATTACAGGTGCCTGACATCACGCCCAGCATTTTTGTATTTTAGTAGAAGAGGAGTTTCACCATGTTGGCCAGGCTGATCTTGAACTCCTGACCTCAAGCAATCCACCCACCTCAGCCTCCCAAAGTGCTGGGATTACAGGCATGAGCCACTATGCCTGGCAGTTTCCACTTTTTATTGAGACGAGAGAGCTCTATAGTAAATTCAAGCAACAGTGTAAGCTTACTTGCAAATTCATTGGTTCCAGAAATATCCTTGATGGATACAGGTGCTGTATGCAGTCGCTGGCAAACCCCAATAGGAGAGTACATTTGTGTGCTAGGGCTCCCATAACAAAGTACCACAAACTGGGTGGCTTAAACAACAGAAATCTGTTGGTTCACAGTCTGGAGGCTAGAAGTCAGAAATTAAGGTGTGGTTCCTATTGAGGCTGTGAGAAGCAATCTGTCCATGCCTCTCTCCTAGTTTCTGGGGGTTTGCTGCATGTCTTTTGCATTCCTTGTCTTTACCCAGTCTTTACCCTCATCTTCATTTGGCATTCTCCCTGCTTGCTACGTCCAAACTTCCCTTTTTTATGAGGATACCAGTCATTAGATGAGGGACCCACCCTAATCCGCTATGACCTCATCTTAAGTAATTACGTCTGCAACGCTCCTATTGCCAAATAAGATCACATTCTGAGGTATCAGAGGCTAGAACTTCAACATATTAATTGGGGATGAGGTGGAGGTACAATTCAACCCATAATAGAGTCACAGCAGGCCGGGCACAGTGGCTCACTCCTGTGATCCCAGCACTTCGGGAGGCCGAGGCGGGCGGATCACGAGGTCAGGAGATTGAGACCATCCTGGCTAACACGGTGAAACCCCGTCTCCACTAAAAATACAAAAAATCAGCCAGGCGTGGTGGTGGGCGCCTGTAGTCCCAGCTACTCGGGAGGCTAAGGCAGGAGAATGGCGTGAACCTGGGAGGCGGCGCTTGCAGTGAGCCGAGATCGTGCCACTGCACTCCAGTCTGGGCAACAGAGCGAGACTCCGTCTCAAAAAAAAAAAAAAAATCACAGCACAAATACCTAAGATTCTGGAGCAAGGTCATGCCTTCTAAGGCAGAAAAAACACGTTTCCAAGCTCCCATGTCACTTACCTCTGCTCTACTGCCACCTCTCCCATAAACTTAACACCTATGGCCTTATAGAAGTTCCCTACAACTAACTGATGGAGACAGAAGAGCCTTGGCCTCTTCAAAGATTGGAGATTGGGTCAGTTCACCATGTTGGCATCTTCCAGAAACAGACTGTTCCTTCATTCCAGCCCCACTTGAGTTGCCCTGAAGCATACTGGTGAAGAGAAATTACCTCAGTGAGCAATGGTACATTTAGTCACCCATGCCATATTTTGGAGAAGATAGCCTAAGGTACGGATATGCATTGACTCCTGGGCAGTGATGAATGACTTGGCTTGTTGGTTAGGGGCCATCTTATTGTTTAAGCAATAGGCTTATGAACAGAGACCATGGTAGCAGGGATAGAGGCTGTGTGTGGTCCCAACAATATGGGCTACCTCTTATTTTTTCATTTTTCTTTTTTTTTTGAGATGGAGTCTCGCCCTGTTGCCCAGGCTGGAGTGCAGTGGTGTGATCTCGGCTCACTGCAGCCTGCTGGGTTCAAGCAGTTCTCCTGCCTCAGCCTCCCGAGTAGCTGGGACTACAGGCGCATGCCACCATGCCCAGCTAATTTTTGTATTTTTAGTTGAGACGGGGTTTCACCATGTTGCTCAGGCTGGTCTTGAACTCCTGACCTTGTGATCTACCCACCTTGGGCTCCCAAAGTGCTGGGATTACAGGCGTGGGCCACCGTGCCCGGCCAATATGGGCTACCTCTTACCAAGGCTGATGTAACTCCCACCATGGTGGAGCGTCCAGCCTGCCAGCACTGGAGACCAACACTCAGTCTTGGGGATACCAGCTACCACCAGGTTGAGTGCATCAGATCCCCTTTACCTTGGAATGGGCATCAATTTGTTCTTACCAGAAATGATATATACTCTAAATGAGCTTGTCTTCCCCAACTACTTTGCCTCCAGCAGTACCACCATCTGAGAGCTTACAGGGTGCTTTATCCATTGACATACCTGAAACTAAGGAACCCATTGATAACCAAGGAGGTGTGACAGTGAACTCGAAGCTACAAAATTAATGGTGCATACTCATCATCCAGAAGCAGCTAGCCAGATAGGACTTTGGAATGGCCTGTTGAAGACTGGGCTAAATTGCCGACTAAGATGTAATGCCTTGCAAAGTTGGGAGCAGTTCTTCAGGATATGGTATATGCACTGATATGCATTGGGCCAAAATGGATATATAGTATTGTGTCTCCAGTAGAACTACGTGCATACAGGAGTAGCCTCTATTACTATCACACCCAGCCACTCACCTGTAGAATTTGTGCCTCCTAGCTCTGAAATCTGGAGCCAGCTGGGTTATGATTCTCATTTCCAGGAAGAACATTTCCTTTAGGAGACATTAAATTGTTCCACTGAACTGAAAACAGAACACCACCAGGCCACTTTGAGTTTCTTGTGCCAGCAGGTCCGTAGGCAAAGAAAGGAGTCGTTATAGAGATGCCCACAATTCCTGCCACACACACAACATAAATACAAAATCATATACCCAGTCAGCTGCATTCAGTAATCTGCCTTCCTGGATCCTTTAGGCACTTCAGTGTAGGAATGGGGACAGGGGTGGGGAGGAGAGACTGTTTTAGACAAGAAAAATACAGTGCGTAGCAATGTAATGGCTCTTAGAGATGACTTGGAACACTGGAAGGAAATATGAGGATGTATCTGGAGGATTAAGTTCTGAGACTATGATGTCATCAAGGAGGACTATAGGTTAGAGGGCCAGCCAGTGATAAAGGAGCAAAGATTGGAATTGACGGTGCCGTAGGAGGAAAAAAATATATATATATGGAGCAAAGACACAGTCAAGTGGATTACTGAGAAGACTCATGGGGAAGTAGAAAATGGCAACCACAGCAAGATCAAACCCCAAAAGGAATGGAGCATTAGTCAGGGCCTAGAAGGTAATTCGGGATACCACGTAATCAGAGGCTCTGTAGCAGGTAGCAGTTCCTTTTGTGGGCTTTTCTCTTGTTGGGCTGTACCACAGACTTGCCCAGAACTTTTAGAGTCATGTCACAGCATTCAAGGTTTCAGTTACTGTTTTATAAAAGGTGAAGTTATGCTTGATCCAATCATTGAAGCCTTAATTATTACAATAACACTTTGACAGCAAAAACGCCTCAAATTTCTTCACCGTCGCTAATCTGAAAACTCCCTGGAAACATAAGGCAAACTCAGAATTTTATAACTATTTAGTGTTGGAAAGAACGTCTGTTGCCTATAGATCAAATATTTGAAAATACTACCTATTCAGCTGGCAATACATACATAATCAGCATCTCAAGAGACAACCTCTTGGTTTTGTGAAGCCATTTATTCTTGATCCTGTCTCCACCCTCGTTTCATTCAGCTCCTCTGCCACAGACAATCACTATTTTTATTGTAACTATTAAAATTATTGTCATTAAGAAAAATAGAAGGAATATATAAGTATCTGAGCAGGGCGGTATAAAAGGAAATTCGTCCCTTTTTCCCCACCCCGCGCACCTCCTCAGAGCGGACAAGCTGAGGACCACGACCCCCAAACCCGGGATTAGAGCCCTACACAGGAATGCTAAGTCCTCCCGCGATCCTAGAGAGGACCGCGAAGGGGAGCGCAGCTCCGGAAGGCGGGTGTGACGCACTTCCGGCTTTTGTGACGCTTTCCCTGGGTTCTGACGTCCAGGGGGCCTAGATCTGAGTCCAGCGCTCCTGGTCCCCAAAGTCACAACCGGTTCTATCCCAGCACCCCAGACGTCTCCGGGCGGGGACAGAGTTGGGCGTGCACGGCTGTGTCCTGCAATCCGCTCGCCACGACCGCCCCGGACGGAGTGGAAGCGGGTCCGTGCCCCTGTCCCTCGCGTCAGCCTCGGCGGTGGCAAGCGCTGTCCCTCAGCAGAGGCGTCCCTGGATACAGGTGGGAAGGGAACGAAGTTGTGGTTTCCGGATTGGAATGAGACATTCCTGGGACTGGGGAGAGGCGGTCTGCGTGTCCCTTCTGGACCCCTAGTCCTGGTTTTTTACCCCAAAGACGCGCGGACAAAATGACCCCAGTCAGATATCTCTGCTCCCCAGTTGTCCCCACTGGTTTTTCTTGTGGTGGGGAGTTTCTGGTTTCCTATGTACCCCAAGTTGTAAAATTCGGGCGATCTTACATGATACCGAGTGCCATTGGCGTTATAATTTTTTTTATTCAGATGGGCTTGTTAAGCCAGTGTCCGCGGATGATATGTTCACCCTCAAACCCACCACCATTATGGTGGTGATTAGAGTGAAGGTCGGGCGCAGTGGCTCACGCCTGTAATCCCAGCACTTTGGGAAGCCTAGGCGGGCGAATCACTTGAGGCCAGGAGTTCCAAAATCAGTCTTGCCTCCTTAGTGAAACCCTGTCTCTACTAGAAATACAGAAAATTAGGCGTGGCGACACACGCCTGTAATCCCAGCTACTTGGGAGGCTGAGGCAGGAGAATCGCTTGAACCCAGGAGGTGGAGGTTGCAGTGAGCCGAGATCGTGTCACTGCACTCCAGCCTGGTGGCAGAGTGAGACTCTGTCTCAAAAACAAACAAACAAAAAAGAACGTTTGAAGCCTACAAAGAAATAAAGAAGTGATTTGGATGTAATAGGGAAAGATTATTTACACTTCACCCTTTCAGTTTCAAGACTACAGGAAGGGGTTTTTTGTTTGTTTATTTTGTGTTTGTTTTGTGTCTGTGTGGTCTTGTTTTTTTGTTTTGTTTTGTTTTGTTTGTTTTTTGTTTTTTGAGACGGAGTCTTGCTCTGTCGCCCAGCCTGGAGTTCAGTGGCGCAATCTCGGCTGACTGCAGCCTCCAGCGCCAGGGTTCAAGCTTTTCCTGCCTCAGCTTCCTGAGTAGCTGAGATTATAGGCGCTCGCCACCATGCCCGGTTGATTTTTGTACTTTTAGTAGAGACGGGGTTTCACCATGTTGGCCAGGCTGGTCTCAAACTCCGGACCACAGGTGATCCGCCCGCCTTGGCCTCCCAAAGTGCTGGGATTACAGGCGTGAGCCACCGCACCCTGCCAGGAAGGGTTTTAAATGAGCAGTTTCGGGCATGGGAGGTTTTCAGTTGTGGGAAGTATCAGTGCTTTATTTTACACTGAGGGGTAAAGGAGAGAAGGGAATTTGTGGACGATGCAGCAGACCATTGGCGAATGGTACCAGTTCTGCCATTGATGTTCTTGGGTGGAACACATAGACCCAGCAAGTCTCAAAAGTGTCCTAAGTAAAATAGATTATCTCAAGGTCTCTTCCAATTTTGGAATTCACTGGTAGACTGAATTTAACATTCAGCTAGGCAAAACCTACTGCCCCATGTTCATTTCCAGTTGTGCCACCAACATACAGAAAGTTACTTGCATTTTTGAGAGGCTGAGTGGTACCAAATAAAAGATGGGGTTCGTTGTCCAGGTGCGGTGGCTCTCGCTTGTAATCCCAGCACTTTGGGAGGCCAAGGCGGATGGATCACGAGGTCAGGAATTCGAGACCAGCCTGGCCAACATGGTGAAATCCTGTCTCTACTAAAAAAAAAAAAAAAAATTAGCTGGGCGTGGTGGCGGGCACCTGTAATCCCAGCTACTCAGGAGGCCAAGGCAGGAGAATCACTTGCACCCAGAAGGCAGAGGTTGCAGTGAGCCAAGATTGTGCCAATGCGCTCGAGCCTGGGGGACAGACCAAGACTCCGTCTCAAAAAGGAGAAGAAAAAATGGGGCTCGTTTAGTAAAGTCAGGCAGTATCTTTAAATCCACTAAGCTCACATGAATGGTGAAATATTGCAGTGTACTAAAAGCAAACAAACAAATGAGGGTGTTTTCTCAATCCCGTGTGTTGTAGAAATCTCATTCTCTCTCCAGAATAATTCATGGATCTATGTAACATGAACATGTTTCAGTATTCATAATACTAACTATACAGCTTAATTTCTTATTTTTAAGAAATAAATACAAGTTCTAATTTTTTTCCCTATGCCCCAGTGGATCATATTGTATACCCTACTTTGATGATCATTTTTAAGAGTGACCAGATCAGCCAGGCACAGTGACTCATGCCCCTGTAATCCCAGCACTTTGGGAGGCTGAGGCAGGTGGATCATCTGAGGTCAGGAGTTCAAGACCAGTCCTGACCAACATGGAGAAACCCCATCTCTACTAAAAATACAAAATTAGACAGGTGTGGTGGCACATGGCCTATAATTCCAGCTATTTGGGAGGCAGAGGCAGGAGGAGAATCACTTGAACCTGGGAGGCAGAGGTTGCCGTGAGCCGAGATCACGTCATTGCACTCCAGCCTGGGCAACAAGAGCGACACTCCGTCTCAAAAAAAAAAAAAAAAAAAAAAAAGAATGACCAGATCACTTTTTAGAGTTGGCAGTGTAGCAGCACATTTAGGACACTGGCTTCAGAGTTGGATTTGAGTGCTAGTTCTGTACTTACTGTGGGTTGTTAGACACATTTAATCTTTCTGAAGTTTTATTTTTCATCTATAATATAAGAATAGTAATTATGTGAACTTCATTAGGTTTCCCTGGGTATTAAATGAGTGGTGTATATAGTATGCCAAATCTCCCTGACACACACAGACAACATGAATGACAGTTACTCATCATTTACCACTACATTTAGTGAATTGTTTTGTATGAGTTGTTAGCAGCCCAGCCATACCATGTTGCTTTTTAATACTGCTGTTACGTTTTTCTACCTTGCAGGATAGCAAAACCTGATCTCATAAAACCTAGGTCACAAAGGACAGCCCTGCAAAACAGACGCTATTTGGATCAAGTGAGCCAGTTCCTGGAACCTGAATAATGACTCCTGAATCAAGGGATACTACAGATTTGTCTCCACGGGGTACCCAGGAGATGGAAGGCATCGTGGTAGTGAAGGTGGAGGAGGAAGATGAAGAAGACCATTTTCAAAAGCAAAGAAACAAAGTAGAGTCATCGCCACAAGTTCTCAGTCACTCTACAACCATGAATGAGAGAGCCTTATTATCATCATATTTAGTTGCATATAGAGTGGCAAAGGAGAAAATGGCTCACACGGCGGCTGAAAAAATTATCCTTCCAGCATGTATGGACATGGTACGGACAATTTTTGATGACAAATCAGCTGATAAACTAAGAACTATACCTCTTAGTGATAATACAATATCTCGTCGAATCTGTACGATTGCAAAACATTTGGAAGCAATGCTTATTACACGGCTGCAGTCTGGTATAGACTTTGCAATCCAACTTGATGAGAGCACTGATATTGCAAGTTGTCCCACACTCTTGGTCTATGTCAGATATGTGTGGCAAGATGATTTCGTAGAGGATCTCTTATGTTGTTTAAATTTAAATTCACATATAACTGGATTAGATTTATTTACTGAATTAGAAAACTGCATTGTTGGTCAGTATAAATTAAACTGGAAACATTGTAAAGGAATTTCAAGTGATGGAGCAGCCAATATGACCGGAAAACACAGCAGACTTACTGAAAAATTGTTAGAAGCAACCCACAACAATGCTCTTTGGAATCACTGTTTTATTCATCGAGAAGCTTTGGTATCCAAAGAAATTTCACCAAGTCTAATGGATGTATTGAAAAAGGCAGTGAAAATTGTTAATTTTATTAAAGGAAGCTCACTGAATAGCCGACTTCTCGAAATACTTTGTTCAGAGATTGGAGTTAACCATACCCACTTACTGTTTCATACAGAAGTTCGTTGGCTTTCTCAAGGAAAGGTATTGAGCAGAGTATATGAACTCAGGAATGAGATTTACATTTTTCTCATTGAAAAGCAATCTCATTTGGCAAATATTTTTGAAAACGACATTTGGGTAACCAAATTGGCATATTTAAGTGATATTTTTGGCATTCTTAATGAATTAAACCTGAAAATACAGGGGAAAAACAATGATATATTTCAGTATCTTGAACATATTCTAGGATTCCAAAAGACATTATTATTTTGGCAAGCAAGACTTAAAAGTAACCGCCCTAGCTACTATATGTTTCCAACATTATTGCAACACATCGAAGAGAACATTATTAACGAAGACTGCTTAAAAGAAATAAAATTAGAGATATTGTTGCATCTCACTTCTTTGTCTCAAACTTTTAATTATTACTTTCCAGAAGAGAAATTTGAATCATTAAAGGAAAATATTTGGATGAAAGATCCATTTGCTTTTCAAAACCCAGCATCAATAATTAAGTTAAACTTGGAGCCTGAAGAAGAGAATGAATTATTGCAGCTCAGTTCATCATTCACACTAAAGAATTATTATAAGACATTAAGTTTATCAGCATTTTGGATTAAGATTAAAGATGAATTTCCACTACTAAGTAGGAAGAGTATATCGCTGTTACTACCATTCACAACTACTTATTTGTGTGAACTAGGATTTTCAATCTTGACACGATTAAAAACAAAGAAGAGAAATAGGCTCAACAGTGCACCGGACATGCGGGTAGCATTATCTTCATGTGTTCCTGACTGGAAGGAACTTATGAACAGACAAGCACACCCATCACATTAAATAAAATCTTTACAAAATCCTGTGTTTAGTCGGGTGTGGTGGCTTACGCCTGTAATCCCAGCACTGGGGAGACGGAGGTGGGCAGATCACTTGAGATCGGGAGTTCGAGACTAGCCTGGCCAACATGGTGAAACCCCATCTCTACTAAAAATACAAAGCCAGGCGTGGTGGTACATGGCTGCAGTCCCTGTTACCTGGGTGCCTAAGGCAGGAGAATCTCTTAAACCAGAGATTGCAGTGAGCTGAGATAATCCCACTGCGTTCCAGCCTGGGCAACAGAGTGAGACTCCATCTCAAAAACAAAAAAAAATTATATCTGTACTTTTAAAGGGATTTTGCAGTATATTGTATTTAAATGTTAATAAAATTATATTTGCAATTAGGTTTTTATTTTTCTACATAGTATGTTTCATGAAACTCAGTTACATGAATGTGTGTATGTGTAGAAGATGATTATATAAAATATATGTCCTTCTGTGAATTACTGTCAAGAATTTTGAAAACTAAGAGGCCAGCACAGTGGCTCACACCTGTAATCCCAGCACTTTGGGAGGCCAACGTGGGTGGATTGCTTGTGCCCAGGAGTTTTGAGACCCGCCTGGGCAACACATTCAAATCCCATCTCTACAAAAAATACAAAAATTTAGCCAGGCTTGGTGGTGTGCACCTTTAGTACCAGCTTCTTGGGAGGCTGAGGTGGGAGGATCATGAGCCCAGCAGGTCGAGGCCACAGTGAGCTGTGATCGTGCCACTGCCCTCTAGCCTGAGCAACAGAGCGAGACTCTGTCTTGAAAAAAAGTTTTTTTAAGTACTGCTTTGCTTTTTTTTTTTTTTTTTTTTTGAGACAGGGTTTCACTCTTATTGCCCAAGCTGGAGTGCAGTGGTGCAATCTCGGCTCACTGCAACCTCCACCTCCTGGGTTCAAACGATTCTCCTGCCTCAGCCTCCGGAATAGTTGGGATGACAGGCAAGCGCTACCATGCCCAGTTAACTTTTTTTGTATTTTTGGTAGAAACAGGGTTTCACCGTGTTAGCCAGTCTAGTCTCAAACTCCTGACCTCAGGTGATCAGCCCGCCTCGGCCTCCCAAAGTGCTGGGGTTACAGGCGTGAGCCACCGGGCTGGTGTAAATAGTGCTTTTAACACTTTATTTTTATACCCAAATCTGTTCCCCTGTCCACCGCCATCGGCTTGCTTCCTCTTTTCCATCAGAACCTTGTTGACATTCAGTTACTCCCTGTCTATGTGCTTGTCCTTTTTTGTCCTAATTCCAGGAAGTGAGTCTTTTTTTTTTTTTTTTTGGACAGAATTTTGCGCTTGTTGCCCAGGATGGAGTGCTACTTTTTTGTATTTTTAGTAGAGACAGGGTTTCACCATTTTGGTCAGGCTGGTCTCTAACTCCTGACCTCAGGTGATCCACCTCGGCCTCCCAAAGTGCTGAGATTACAGGCATGAGCCACTGCGCACCACTGGAAGTGAGTCTTAATGCCCGTCTTGGTTTAACACCATGCTGGGTTTTTTTAGATGGGTAAGTGTTACAATTTAGCTAATGAGACGTTTAGGCCATCTGTTGGGATATCTCTTGACTTCCCCTGTTCTCAAAAAGGATGCAAGAGACCAGGTGCGGTGGCTGTCACCTGTAATCCCAGCACTTTGAGAGACCAAGGCGGTGGATTACTTGAGGTCAGGAGTTACAAAAATTAACTGGGTGTGGTGGTGGGTGCCTGTAATCTCAGCTACTCAGGAGGCTGAGGCAGGAGAATCACTTGAACCTGAGAGGCAGAAGTTGCAGTGAGCCAAGATTTTGCCACTGTGCTCCAGCCTGGGCAACAGAATGAGACTTCATCTCAAAAACAAAAACAAAGGCCAGGCACAGTGGCTCACACCCGCAATCCCAGTGCATTGGGAAGCCGAGGCAGGCAGATCGTGAGGTCAAGAGATTGAGATCATCCTGGCTAACATGGTGAAACCCTATCTCTACTAAAAATGCAAAAAAAAAATAGCCAGGTGTGGTGGCGCATGCCTATAATCTCAGCTACTTGGGAGACTGAGGCAGGAGAATAGCTTGAACCCAGGAGGCAGAGGTCGCAGTGAGTGGAGATCGCACCACTGTACTCCAGCCTGGCAACAGAGCGAGACTCCATCTCAAAAAAAACAAAAACCGAACACAGGAAAGAAGATAGATGATGATGGTGTTTTGTTTTGCTTTGTTTTGTTTTGAGACAGGGTCTCATTCCATCACCCAGCTGGAATGCACTTTGCAATCAGGGCTTACTGTAGCCTTTCCAGGCTCAAGCGATCTTCCTGCCTCATCATTTTTATTTTTTGTAGAGACAGATCTCACTGTGTTGCCCAGGCTGTCCTTGACTTCTGGCCTCAGGTGGTCCTCCTGCCTCAGCCTTCCGAAGTGCTGGAATTACAGATGTGAGCCACCGAGACTGGCCTGAAATCCAATTTTTAATGTTGCCTCAAAGATACCGAAAACATGGTGAGGGACAAATGGTATGTCCGTGGGACACATCAGACAGTGACTGTCGATTTGCTAGTTTAGCCATTCACTGGGGTACAAGGTGAAGCCTGAAGTTTTCTCAACTTCAGACTTGAAGTTAAAGTGCTTCTCTCCACTTCCAGGGATTGGCGCCCCTGTGCCAGACAGAGCAAACAGGAGGTAGGAGGTAGCTGCTCTTCGACCCCTTTCTCCTTTTCCTTGGCCGTCTGCAGCCACACCACACTTGGTCCCCACGCTGACCAGCTAAGGGTGTGTTGAGCCCGCCTGAGGTCCAAGCCTTCCCTCTGCCCAGAGCTGGGGACCCCTGTCCAGTGGGCACTCCCGCTCACAGACCCTTGGTATTAGGTGGCTCCTTCCTAGACCGCGGACAGAACTTGGGCCTCAGAACCAACACCGGGGCACAAACCACTACTCAGGGCTGCTTCCTGGGATGGGGAAGAAAGGCTTTGGGAGTGGGCACACCAGGGCACAGGGCACTTCTCCTCCAGGTCCTTAGCCCGGCCACCCCGGTCCTTCAAGTGGCAGGAATGACCCAGACTGCCCTTGGCTGAGCGCCGTTGTGAGCTGGTGCCTCTGCCTCGGCCACAGTCGCAATGGCGGAAAATCCAGAGCCAGAACTGTAGTTATGTAAAAGACTGTGGTGCTCCATACCCACCCTGGGTGGCGAGGCCTGCAGGCGAGCATTGTGTGCATGCGGTTGGCGCCTGCAGTGAACACGTCCATCCCCCACCCCAGGTTGCCCCATGCACCTGCCCTACCCAACGGCCTCACCCGGGCGAGCGCGCGGCACACACAAAAGGGACGGTGAGGCGCCTGGACCCCAACCCGGAGACGCTGAAATTAGGGTTTTTGACGTGGGACAGGTGGAACTGGAGTTAGAAGGTGAGTGTTAGCAGAAAGTCCCGTAGACAGGAGACCCAAGTTAGTCGTGGGACTGTCACTACCTAACTGAAGTGGCCCAAGATTTCGGTGAGGCTATAGTTTTTTTTTCTTTTCCTTGTTTTTTGGTGGGGCCTGGGGTGGGAGGGTGGCAGACAGACCCTTTCTCTGGTGCCCAGGTGGGCATGATGACAACTCACTGCAGTCTCAACCTCCAGGGCTCAAGTGATCCTCTCACCACAGCCTCCTGGGACTACAGGCATGTGCCACCACGCCCCGCTAATGTTGGTTTTTTTTTTTTTTTTTTTTTTTTCTGAAATGGAGTCTCACTCTGTCGCCCAGGCTGGAGTGCAGTGGCACGATCCCAGCTCACTGCAACCTCCATCTCCCGGGCTCAAGCAATTCTCCTGCTTCAGCCTCCTGAGTAGCTGGGATTACAGGCGCCCGCCACCATGTCTAGCTAATTTTTGTATTTTTGGTGGAGATGCGGTTTCACCATTGTTGGCTAGGCTGGTCTCGAACTCCTGACTTCAGGTGATCCACCCATCTCAGCCTCCCAAAGTGCTGGGATTACAGGCGTGAGCCACTGCGCCCAGCCTCTAATGTTGGGTTTTTTGGTTTTTTTTTTTTTTTTTTTTTTTTTTTTTGTAGCAATGAGGTCTCGCTGTGTTGCCCAGGCTGGTCTTGAACTCCTGGGCTCAAGCAATCCTCCCACCTCGACCTCCTAAAGTGCTAGGATTACAAGCCTGAGCCACTGTGCCCGGTCCCCAGTCTTTTCCTAACCATTCTTTCGTACATGGATAAAAAAATACCTCCTGATAAATAAACATATATAATAGTACCTACCTAATGCAGTTATTGTGTGAAATAACTGAATTAATATATGTCATGCACTTAGGAGACTGATTGATGTTTAGTAAGTGCTACACAAGTAATAAATGTTAAACAAAAGAGGATTATAAATGAGTAATTTCAATTAAATGAGGGACTGTAGAGAAGACTGTGAAAGAATCACAAAGATCTTTGTAGAGGAAGTAAATACATGGCAGGCTGTAAAATGGTCGTTCACAAGCAGTCCAGGCCGGGCGCAGTGGCTCATGCCTGTAATTCCAGCACTTTGGGAGGCCCAAGTGGGAGGATCAGTTAAGGTCAGGAGTTCAAGACCAGCCTGGCCAACATGGTGAAACCCCATCTCTACTAAAAATAAAAAAATTAGCTGGTCATGATGGCAGGCACCTGTAGTCCCAGCTACTCGGGAGGCTGAGGCAGGAGAATCACTTGAACCCAGGAGGCAGAGGTTGTAGTGAGCCAAGATCAAGCCACTGCACTCTAGCCTGGGTGACAGAGTAAGACTCTGTCTTAAAAAAAAAAAAAAAATTAGCTGAAGGCAGTGGCGGGCACCTGTAATCCCAGCTACTTGGGAGGCTGAAGTGGGAGAATTACTTGAACCTGGGAGGCGGAGGTTGCAGTGAGCTGAGATCACGCCTCTACACTCCAGCCTGGGCAACAGAGACTCCATCTCAAAAAAAAAGAAGCAGTCCATAAGTCCATATGAGCCTATGAAAAAGACCTTGCTCAGGGGTTGTTTTGACAGTCACCCAAAGCTACCTTCCTTCTAGCTTTGCCTTTGAGCTCTGTGAATTACTTCATTCAAAGAAACTTGCACTTAAACTGAATCTAATGCAATTGTTCCTGTTATTTTTTTCCCAGTTCCACACCCTATTTCAAGGCTAACACCTTCACTTTGTACTTTTGCCTTTGGATTCTAACGTGAAGAAGGAAAAGGCCTTAAAGGCAGAAAACGGTGAAAAAAATACCTGCCAGGACATTATGAGGAGAAGCCAAACAATAAGCTGGCCATGATTTTGCCAGGTGGGCAAGGCCAGGAAGAGGAGATCAGGAGAGAGAGGTCCAATGTGAAGATGTGCACAGAGATGTCTGGAAAATAAGCCCAGAAAAAAATAGTCTTCATAATCCATATAGGGGAGAGTGGAAAA